GTTTTTGTTTATGTTATACTTAAAGAAAAATTTTTTAAAAAGGATGGCAGGCCAGGCATCTCGGGGGGGCAGAGGGAGGGAGGGAGCCCCATCGCCCCCCAGCTGTTCCCCCTCTTCACCCCCAAAGCCCATATCTTGCTTGCCACCTGGGGTGTGAAGTTTGCGGGGGGGGTGGTGGTGGAGAAAAGAGAACTTGGGAGGGGGAATGCTCCCCCTTCCCCCCTCTGCCACCTCCCCCTCCCGAAAGGCTGCCTGCAAAACATGGACAGAGAAAGGGCCCAGGTGTCTTGCTTGGGGGGGGCAGGATCCAGACTTCCTATTTGACCCCTCTCCCAATTTAGCCCCCCACCATGTGAGGAGGAAGAGGAGGAGGGCAGAGACCAAAACAAAGAGAACCTGCCCCCGCAAGGCCTTTGCGCAGAGCAGAAGGAGCACATTGTAGGCTCTCTGGGGTTGGGGGGGAGGCTGGTTTTTTGGGGGGGTCTTTTAATTATCTCTCAATACAACCCCTTTTTACTCTTTAATCCCTCCAACCCCGTCTTGCAACTCCCCCCCAAATTGCTCACTTTGCGGGTCCTCGGGCAGAAAACTCACGAGGAAGCCCCTCCTGCTCCCCTGCAAAGTGGCCTCTTGGGGGGGGCTAGAGGAGCGGGGCAGGAGGGGGCGGAGCTGGGCTTCCCACCTCTGGTTCCCCTTTGCTGCACCGGGAGCAGCTCCTCGGCCGCCCCTACCTCTACTTTCTCCTTTTTTTGGGGGGGAGAAAGAAAACCGAGGGACTTTCTCCCTCTGCCACCCCCCCAAAGGTTGCCTGCATGATCTGGGGGGGTAGAGGAGGACCCACCTACACGCACCCAGAGAAAGGGTCCGGGTGTCTTGCTGGGGGGGTGAGGGCGGGATCGGGACCCTTCCCAGACTTCCCATCTACCCCTTCCAAGTTTAAACTCCCCCCCCGCGACGAGAGGAGGAGGAGGCCCGGGACAAAAACAGATGTCTCCCCCTCTCCCCCTTTGCAAAGCCTTCGTGGATTGCAGACCGAGCAGGAGGAGGGGCCCAATCCCGAATTGCACGGTCTCTGGGGGTGGGAGGCTTTTTTTTTCCTGGTTATTTTTAAAAATATCTCTCTGCAACCCCTTCTATCCCCTTCTCGCCTCCTTGCTGGTCCTCTGGCAGGAAGCTCGCGAGGAAGCCACTCCCCTCCCCTGCAAAGTGGCCTCTCCTGGGGGGGCTGGGATCCTAGAGGGGAGCGGGGCAAGAGGAGGCTTCCCACCTCCGGGTCCCCTCCAACACAGTTGCGCTGGGAGCAGCTCATGGT